GGGGGACCCGCGGGCAGGTTTTACCGCTCCGAACGAAGCGCGAGCGGCAGCGGCCCCATCCTGTCCCCAGCAGATAACGGGGCAGAGGACAAAAGCCCCCGGCCAGGAGGCATCGGAGGCCAAAGAAGCTCCCGCTGCCTCAGGTGGGCAATCCTGGTTGGCCCCTGAGGGCAAAATGGACCCTAGTTTTGCTGCCACGAGGCCACAGGGGCCGGGTACACCCCATTTCTCAGGGTATCCTGTCCCGTTTAATGAGAAAATCACCCCTTTATGGTCAACTCATGAGCTCTGGGATGGGGCAACCCATGGTTTCTTCCCTCTGCTAAATGTGATTCTCCGATTCTCCACATTTTTTTTTTTTTTTTTTTTTGGACATGGAGCAATCAGTTGCTCTGGGGCAGCGCTCTCCACCGCCTGCTTGCACATCTGTCGCATCCACCCGCAAACCACTGCACGAAGCCCCCATTCTGCCGACTGGCGGCTAGGTCAGCCCTCCGCATTTTCCTACACTGCCATGGTGTGAGCATGAGGAAAAATCAGAGAAAACAGCTGTTTTGCGGAGTCGGAGCATTTTCAATACATACAATACAGTCTCCCATGTGAGCCCCCTGGCATATCTCTGGAGGCCACATGTTGATCCTAGAATCCTAATGGTTGGAAAAGACCTTGAAGATGACGGAGTCCCACCGTAAGCCCATTACCACCATTGACTGCTAAACCATGTCCCTAAGCATCTCATCTACACATTTCTTGAGCACTGCCAAGGACAGTGACATAGCCTGGGGAAGCAGAGGTTATTCTGTGCCTTCCCTCCCATTTTTAAAGCTTTTTCAAGAGGCTTCTCAATATTTAATGTATATGTTGCCTTCCTTGTGGTGACTCATGAAAGCCTTGAACCGAGCTCTTGAACATTTCCCTGAATATTTGTTCATCTTCTTTAGTTCTCATTCATATTCCTCTTTATTGCTTTTATCTGCCTGGACTTTAGGTTATTTTTCTTCATTACATTTGTATTCTTGTAGTCTCTCTTTTTTTTTTTTTTGAGTGCTCTGCCATGCAAAAGGAAAAAGCAAATTACTTGTTACTCATGTTTGCACCTCAAGGCCCAAATCCTGAAATGAATCCTCCTTAATCCAGTTCCTAAGGATGGGCCAGCAAAAAGCTCGTTGTTGCTGGTCTACGTGTAACTTGTCACTCCTCAGCAATTTTCTACTAATTATGTACATTAATTCTAGATATGCACGTACAGAGACATGAGCCACTCCTATACATGCAGTTAAATGTAAACCCTTGATCAGGCGCCTCCGTGTTCATGCCTAGGTGCAGAGTAGGTGACGTGGAGGATCCAGTGGCTGTTAGCGAGTTAGCAGTCAAGTTGTTTAAACTTTTAGCAGTTACCAAGGAGAGGCAGGTGCCTCCTGAACGGGGATTTGGTGTTTAGATGAGCTAAAAATTGTTTGCATTTTTTCAAGGGAGGGTGGGAAGAGTCTGTCTTTCGCCATGGACAAAGAGTCCAACATGAGGAAATTCCTGATTCTCTTCAATTAAATGGGTTGAAGCAGGACCTTGGTCTTTAAAACAGGCTTTAGTTGCACCACAGGCTCAACCCTTTCCTCATCTCTGATCCAGAGACAACATTACAAGACTGCTCTTGTACAGCATTACAAGACATACTGTCTCTGCAAGACAGTATGAGGATAATGGCAGGATGGAAGAGCAAACTTAATCCCGACGTACTAGTATTTAAGCGGGATCTCACTTGACAGACCTTCAGATACGCAGTCTAGGCTCCCAGCTTACAGCCCAATAAAGCTGTAAGCTGTAAAGCTGTAAGGCTGTGGGCTTTATTTGTAGCCACACTGATGGAAACGCTGAAGAGCGACTTTTGCTCTCCCTTGAGAAGCTTTTCCTAATGATGCTGAGGAAGGAGCTCTCTGCGCGGGAGGCCCCGCGGGCAGCGCTTCCACCCGCCCTGCTCCGGGCGAGGGAATCGCCACGGTCCTCAGGGCGCCACAGAGGCTCTTTTGTTCGGCCGAGGCAGCGGAGCCAACAGCGCCCGGAAGAAGTCAGCACCGAAGGCACCGCACACCCGGCCAGAAACAAAAGGATGGAGTGTGCAGCAATGCAGACGATGCCCCAGAGCGTTAACCCCATCCGAGCCCCGTTCCCGGGGCAGGGAAGCCTGTCTGACAGCCAACATCGTTCTGCCGAGTCCTTCCCTCCGCCTCAGGCCGTCAGCCCCAGTCTCTGTCACAAATGCTGAGAATTAAGTGTCATCTCCTCTCTCCTCACCTCAGGAGACTGCAAAAGCCAACCGACCCTCTCTTGAGACTACTCTCAGGAGCTCAAAAGATTGATGGTTGTGTTGCTCTTTAAATATATATATATGCACACACATATATATATATATATATATAATTGTATTCAATGAGAACTGCTCCAGAGGCATTGCTGCTCACCAAACAAACCAGTTTAGGCTAAGAATATTGCAGCTGTAGAGTTAAATTGATTCAAAATTCAATCTAGTTACTCTGGTACAATATAAATACGATTTAACCCTGAAGGGATTTAAATGTTGCTTCCACGGGTCTGATGCAATTCAGAATGTTATCAGTAAAATAGCTTCAGTCTAAATAGCTTCACTGGCATTAAGAATGGGCACTGGGGAAGGCAGACTGATTTTTGCATGGATTTAATTATCCAAACGGGAGCAGATACACCCTTACTCTGAAGTGAGGATGGGGGAGTGGAAACTAGCACAGCTTCTTGATCAGTGTGGGCCCCGCTCCACGGATCCAGCACGTGCTGATGTTCAAAGGGAGAGCAGAAGCTACGCTCTTCTCCTCCTCCCTCCATCCTTTGCTAAGTCCAACGTCTGCAACATTCAGCTTTTCCTGGCAGTGCAGTTCTTCAGCTGAAAGATGGGTGCTAAGCTCTGTGTGAAACTGCATAGCTCTGCAGGATAAAATGTCCTCGTCTCGCAGCTCCACACCACAAGAATGAGGGCAAGTCAATGGCGAAGGAAGCCAGATAATTCACAATTCTGGAAGGAAATACTTTGTAGGCAACATGTAATCAGTCTGGGGAACTCATTGCCACAGGATGCTGTTGCAGCCAAGAGTTTAACAAAGAAATTCCCTAGCACTTTGTACCACTGGGACTTTGCCAGCCCTCAGAATTTATCATAGACCACCACGGAGCTGGAGGCTCATGTGGGGCCTTGCACCAAGGTCACAGTGAGAGGGAAAGGCTGTGACCATGTGTTACATCCAGGTTGTGCATAATACTTCACGGGGACACTCCGAAAATGAGGATTGGTTGAATCCACTGACAAGTCCTGGAGGGACTAGTGACAGTTTTGGAAGGAATAGAGCCCCTCCCCATTTGCCTACTCTGGAATTTCTTGCGTTTTCCCGGGGTCAGTGAGGGACTGAGGAGGCTCTGAGCCAGCTGATGTCATCCTCTCAGAGCTCATCCCCAGCTTCTTGGCTTTGACTAGCGCTGCAACTGCTTCCAAACCCGCTGCAAGCAGCCCCCACTGCAGGTAATACAGCAGATACATTTGGCAGTTCTCCCTTTCCTCATGTAACCACCAAGTGGGGATTCTTCACAGCTAAGAATGTCCTAGTGTCCTCAGGAGTCAAGCCTGGGTGTGAAGATCTAGCAGATTTTCCTTGCAGAGCAGAGGATAGTTGGGAACTGTCTCATACATGAAGATTTCCTATAAACGTCTACAGTTATAATCAGATCTGAAGCAGTGTGTCCAAAACAGCTCTCTGAAAACACTTACTTTTCTAGGTTTCCTATGAGTTTCCTTGCTACTGTAATAATAATAATAACTAGCTGCTAAACCCATGTGCATCTCCCCTGTCCATGACTGCTTTATCTTGGTGGATTGACTTCTCCAAACCATGGTCAAGAGTCCAAGAGCCTGGGACGGGACAGTCCGGTGGTTTTCAGTGAGTTCACAAGAGGGGTCATTGCTCATCGATACAAACAGGCACTTAGTACCTAAGCCCAGGGTCAGTCCCTGCTATCAGTGGGAGTTTAGCTATGATCCCCAAGGGAGGCTGAATTAACCTTTTGCTACGATGAACTGATGGCTAAAAAACCACTTCTGCAAAAGAAACTTATCTATCCCGCTGAAAAAGCAAATACAACTTCCTAGAAATTTTGAAGACGCTGCATGCCAGGAAATGTAAGATCTTATGGGAGCTGTTCCAAGGGTTACTGCAAGCAGCTTTCTCCCGTCACAGGCTCTAGAACGCAAGGACCTTCTGTCTCATCACTGTGTATTGCATAACTCAAAATTACAAATATTTACAAAATTACAAAATCATTTTAAAAGCTCATTTTCCCCCATTCCCTACTTCTGTGGGATCCCTGGTGCTGTTTCCAGACAGTAAATCAGC